TATATATATATATATATATATATATATATATATATATATATATATATATATATATATATATATATATATATATATATATATATATATATATATATATATATATATAAATATTATATATATACAGATTTGTGTTTTGTTTATGCATTTGGAGCTGATGTTGTGTTGTGCGCTGTGGAGCATGTGCAGCTCTCTCTCTCTCTCTCTCTTTCTCTCTCTCTCTCTCTCTCTCTCTCTCCCCCTCCCACTAGAGCTGCGCTTGATTGCGGTCCGGCCGTGTTGCGTGTGGGAGCGTATATAAGCTGGAGGAGAGGAACAATGGGGAGATCTTTCTGCTCGGTGCAGGTCGCAAATCTCCGTCGTCGTCGTCGCCGCCGCTTTTGTTCCGAGCGTCTCCTATCTCCTGCCCCAAATTGTTGGTTGACTTGGTGTGAATTGATCGATTTCTGTTACTGACAATTTAATTATTTTCTAAAACGGCTCTCTGTTAAATCTGAACCTATTGGCTTTTCTGATTAAATATTTATATATATTATTTTTGGTTAGAAACAGAGGCGGTAGGTTGGGAATCGCCATTTACTTTAAAACGTTTTCTCCTGGTTTGTGGTAGCAAGGGAGAAAGGGAAGTTTGCTGTAATTTTATTTGGGGTACTTTTATTTGAGCAGGTAAGTTAGAATTATTTCCCCGCAAGTTAGCTGTCTTTTTGTTTATTATTTTGGCCTGGATTCCCTTCCGAAGAGATGCTTCTATCTTTGTTGTCTGAGTAAATAATAAATATTGTTACTACTTGATCAGCGTTGTGATTATTGTTGGGACAGGAGAAGGGGAAAATCCTAAATTGAGTATTTGACTTTATTTCTTTGTTTATTTACACTTGTTATTGTTCCCACCAACCCTAGACTGGTCGGGACGTAACATATGCAAAAACTCGGAAGCGAGTTAGCGTTTTAGCAGTTCCGGTTCCCTCGTCCCGAAGTCATACCTTAAATAAGGTTTGTGGCTAAAACAAACTCGAGATACTTTCACATTTTCTTCTACGACATAAAACACATCAGCTACTTCACACTCTTGATTTTTGACATCGGTTATGCTTCTTTAAAAAGACGGTTGGTATAAAGTTGCTAAATGGTACTACAAGCGGTATGGGAGACATTATACGTCATCGAGCTGATCTGTTCTGGAGCGCAGATCGCTTGTGATGGGCGTTTGGATTTGTGTGTTATTTTAGTATTTTCATGAATAGTATTTTATAGTTTGTAGTATTTTTCTAATTGGTAAATCATATTGTGTGTAGATAATGCCTTCACATGTAAAGGCTGTCGAGACAGACTAATTTGTTGATCATTTATTTTATTAAATGATATTATGAAGATACTGCTTACCAGTGCAGCCTGTCTCTCTTCTGCCCTCAGTAACGCAAACGTGTGAATAAATGTGTAAAAATAAATACATGTTATTTATTATATATTATAAATTGATTTTTAGTCGTTTTTTTTCTTCATCCGAACACATTTAACTCCGTCATAACTTCATTATTTACATTCCCTCTGAAAATCATGAATGGCGTCTCTGAGTTTGCCTTGCAGTGTTTCTCTGAAGTTGAGCTGTAAAGTTGAATAACTGTTCTCAGGTCAGAGTGCAGAGGCTCTGAGAGCACGTGCAGCGCTCTAAAGCTGATATTCACTCAGATAATCTGGATTATGAAGGTTGTAGTAGTTGTAAGTGATTATCCATAAAAGGTTTTACCCTTGAGCTATAAATACTGCCTGCATGGCTCCATTTACTTCTTACTGCATCACTATATTTAGAGGATTTCAGCCGCTGACTCGGCACTTTTACTAAATGACACACTTCTTGTTATTATTGTTCCCTCCTTACACCACCTGACACAAGTCTTGTGGCCTATCCAAGTTTTAGGAACAGCAAATAATGACTTGACTTCTAGTTGATCATTTGGTGTCAGAAGTGTCATAAATGAAAGGCAAAGGCCTCTAGATTTTGCTTATTTGAGCACAATAAAATCTGATCATGCCTTGATTATTAATGATGTCATTAGGACAGTAAGGTCTGACTCTACTTAGACTAAAGTCTCATCACTGAACAGAAATAATGTCCAGTATAGAATATAAAGTCCTGCTGCAGTGGAGACAGAATGAATATTGTGTCTGACTCCATCATGAGCTTGGAGGACTGCATCCATACATCTCTGACATGACTCAAATCACTGATTAATAAAGTCATCTGGAATGAAGGAGAAAGCGTTCCTGCAGGACTCCCAGAGTTCATCAAGACTCTTTGTGTTCATCTTCAACGCCTCCTCCTTCATCATGCTCAATAATGTTCATGTCTGGTGACTGGGCTGGCCAATCCTGGAGCAGCTTGACCTTCTTTGCTTTCAGGAGCTTTGATGTGGAGGCTGAAGTATGAGAAGGAGGGTTTGCGGGTCTGTGGTTTGTAATGTAATAGGCAGCACAGATGTCTTGATACCTCAATCTGTTGATGTTGATCATCCACTCTGCAGATCTCTCGCACGCCCCCATACTGAATGAACCCCAAACCATGATTTCTCCTTCACCAAACTTGACTGATTTCTATAAGACTCTGGGCTCCATGCTGGTTCCAGTAGATCTTCTGCAGTTTTGGCGATGATTGGGATGCAGCTCAACAGATGATTCATGGGAGAAACCCACCTTCTTTCCAAATAATCAACTAGAATTCAAGTTATTATTTGTTGCTCTTACAACTGAGATCCACGACAAGAAATTTATCAGGTATCCTATATTAGGTAGCCTTAACTATTATGTACTCGCATTAAAACATAAATACAATGTACTTACTGTGATCATATGGTAGTGCAGAAGACTTGAGGAGGGATACGGTTATGGGTAGCTTTAAGGCTGATACTTAAAGATTTGGGGCTTGTGGAGCTGTGCATGGATGTATTTGCTCTTCAGTGTTAGGACTTTCAGCAGTGAAAACTAAACCACACTGAACTGAACTTCAACTCTGAAATCTGAACTACACAGATTCAATTTACTATAATCTTCTATGTTCAGCTTTTTTGACACAGTCTACATTGTGAAAGTGCTATACAAATAAAGATGAATTAAATGAATATGAATATTTTTCTGATCTTGTTTTCAGTGGAACAAACTGTATTTGTCATTAAAAGGTCTCATTAAAAGTGTCATTACTCTGTTAAATCGTTTTTAAGAGCGTCATTAATATTTAATGACTAATTCAGCTTGTACCACTGTAGTTGTGGTCAACATTTATTTAGTGATGCTGTTATAAATCATGCCATATTTATGTGTGTTTGTGTGTGTGTGTGTGTTTCAGGTGGACACTGCTAGTGAAGTGGAGGAGCTGGATATTGATGTTTCTCCAGCGCCGTATTCAGTCAGTAAAGCAGCAGCCAAACTCCAGGTCTTCATCGCGCGTTACAGGTCAACACTATTTCATTTATTTGACATGGAAATCACAGTTGGACAAACCATCCATTTGTTTGAGTGTAACGGCAGACTTGCTCATTTTCAACACCTGTCCAAGAGAGGCTTGACATATACAGTTAAAGTCATAATTATTAGCCCCCCTGAATTATTCACCCCCTGTTTATATTTTTTCCCCAATTTCTGTTTAACAGTAAGCAGATTTTTTCAACACGTTTATAATCATAATATTTGTAATAACATAATAATAACAATATATAAATATTTATTTTATATAATATATAAATATTTAAACATAATACTAATAAACATAATAATAAACATAATAATAATAATAATATTTATTTTATCTTTGCCATGATGACAGTAAATAATATTAGACTAGATATTCTTCAAGACACTTCTATACAGCTTAAAGTGACATTTAAAGGCTTAACTAGGTTAATTAGGGTAACTAGGCAGGTTAGGGTAATTAGGCAAGTTATTGTATAATGATGGTTTGTTCTGTAGACTATCGACAAACAAATTAGCTTAAAGGGGCTAATAATATTGACCTTAAAATGGTGTTTAAAAATTAAAAACTGCTTTTATTCTAGCCGAAATAAAACAAATAAGACTTTCTCCAGAAGACAAAATATTATCAGACATACTGTGAACATTTCCTTGCTCTGTTAAACATCATTTGGGAAATATAAAAAACAAAACAAAAAAAAACAAAGGGGTTAGAATAATTCTGACTTAAATCCCAATATATCATAAAGGTAATAATAAAGAAATATTTAGAAAAATACATATACACAGCATTAAATGTTACTTATTGATAGCGCACTGTACAAATTTAACCTGTTAATTAATAGGTTTTTAGAGAAAGTCATTTTTTAGAGGAAATCAGCCTCTGACTTGCAGATAATTTACTGTATTATTCATGTTAAACTGGGAAATGTGTTTGAAATGTCAACCTGTCTCTGATTTGTGAATGCAGTTATAATCCTTATGATGGTCCTAATGATAACCCGGAGGTGGAGCTGCCGCTCACTGCAGGAGAGTACATTTACGTCTATGGAGACATGGATGATGACGGATTCTACGAGGGTGAGGGGTTCAATTTTTATTAATATTTTTTATTTACAGCTGAAAACATGCATGTATCAATGCAAAATGTACAGAAATATTTTTTTTTATTTTTTTGTAGGCATCAAAAATATATTTTCTAATTAATAAGATTTTTTCATAAACAACATTTATCCTAAATTAAAATGCAAAAAAATGCTTTTCAATATTTTGTTTCTCAGCAAAATATAAAAAAAATTGTAAATCAAGAAACATTTTCTAGACAAGCAAAAATATTTATTTTTAAAATGATATTTTTAGAAATATTATGAATAATTTAAGTGAGTTTTTCTCCCTTAAAACAAGATAATAAACACTATAATAATAATAATAATAATAATAATAATAATAATAATAATAATAATAATAATAATGATAATAATAATAATGATAATAAAAATAATAATTATTATTCATACAATTACATAATGATATCATCAGGCAATAATGTCTCAATACAAAGTCATGCTTAAAAAAAACACTCTTCCTAACCTCCGCAGGTGAGCTGATGGATGGCAGAAGAGGTCTCGTTCCCTCAAACTTCGTTGAGCGCGTATCAGACGATGATTTCATGAGCTCGCACACGCACCAGGCTGGTGATGCATCCCATAATTCCCTTCAGGAGAGCAGCTTCCATAGCGGCAGCGATCGGTTGCATCAGCACCACCTAAGATTCGCCCACAGCGCCTCCGACAGGACGGACACCTCCACGACGGCATCAGCATCAGCTCCCAAATCCCAAATCCCGCTCACAAACGGCCTGGATCTAGATCTAGAGGAGGTCGGGGTGGACACTGTGCCTTACCCCCGAAAACTAACACTAATCAAACAGCTAGCTAAAAGCATCATCATTGGCTGGGAGTGTCCGCTAGTTCCGGCTGGATGGGGATTAGTGTTTAGCTATAACGTCTATGTGGATCATGAGCTGCGGATCAATGTGCCATTCGGTACCCAAACGAAGGCGGTTTTGGAACGGCTGGATTTGGCGAAGAAATCGTATCGGGTTGCGGTGCAGTGTCTGACGGAGCATGGAAACTCGGATCAGATGCGCTGCTGTATGCTGGTCGGACGGGATGTGTGTGTGGCACCCAGTAACCTGCGTGTTGAGCGCGTGACGGCTACCTCCGCTAGTCTGACCTGGCTGCCTAGTAACAGTAACTACGTGCACATCGTGTCTTTGAATGAGGAGGAGTGTGAGCTGGTCAAGGCGGGATGCTACTCTCTGTGCCTCAGTAATCTGACTCCTAGCATGCATTACAGTGTGAAAGTGGAGGCTCGGCCGCACCGCACCGCATGGGAGCTGCCGCCCGAGTGCCGAGAACGAAAAACCGCTCTGACCTCTTTCACGACGCTGACTGCAGGTGAGGATATTCTCATTTCAAGAGTTCACACTTAGCTGATGATTGATTATAAAGCTTGTTTGGCATGCTGTCCCGGGAGAGAGCCCTGAGCTCATAAGATCCTCGAGCCCGGGGCTCCCTCCCGTTGCAAGGCGAGTGGGGAGTTTGAGCTCAGGTAGATCTGGAAAACTCCCCTGCTGTAGTAGCAAATGAACAGATAGTGATTGCTCTTAAGAGATGAATATTTACTAGGCATGACTATGGTGCCAGTTTGGATTAGTCGATTAACTTAAGTTGCATGTTTTTGGACAGTGGGGGGAAACCGGGGAACCTGGGGGAAACCCACATGAGCACGGGGAGAAAGTGCAAACTCTGCACAGAAATGTCTGCTGGTTTGGTAAAGCCTAGAACCAGAGACATTCTTGCTGTGAGGGAACAGTGCTAACCACTGGACCACCGTGCCACCCATCTAGGAAGAAGGAGGAGTAGGGGTGGAAGGAGAATTTTTCAAAATGAAGATAGCGGTGGAATGTTACAGGGTATTTGTAGTAGCTTAGGAGTCGCCTGATTGGTGCATTGAGAATTGGATAATGCGGATCCAGCCGCTAGCAATCATAAGCATGTGATCCTCTCGAAATTAGTTTAACAATAACCTTCACTTAGCATTTTTTAAGTAGTTTTTAAATCTGCTTTACATTACAGTTCGTTTCATTAATGATTTTTGAAAGTTTTAGATTTCATTTAGTTTTCATTCTGTGAACACATTTCTGTTTTGTTTTTAAACAATTGTTTTTTTTTTTTTTTTATTTAACCTATGTGTGTTGTTCAAATGAACTACCCTTTGGTTATGTTGCTCCATTTGCTTCCATTATAATCACATTTGTTTTAATTGCAAAGCCATAACAGCATATGCATTTTTGATTGGTTTGACTGGTTTTCCCTGCATTTCTGTCTTTTATATGGCGCTCTATGGAGTAAAACAGCAGATTATAGTGTGTGTGCAGAATTACACTTACTGTGTTTGCTATGTTCTTAGAGCTGAGGGGCTTATTTCAAGAGTTCACACTTAGCTGATGATTGGTAATAAGCTAGTTTGGCATGTTGTCCCGGGAGAGAGCCCTGAGCTCAGGAGATCCTTGTGCCTGGAGCTCCCTCCCGTTTGCAGGGCGAGAGGGGAGTTTGAGCTCAGGTAGATCTCAAGAACCATGTCCCGAAAGATGGTTCTGGTGGATTAAGGCGCTGGTTATTGTGCTGAAATAGGTGCAGATCTTCATTTCTGTAAACAGTTTGTTTTTAGCAGTAATTTAATGCTGGGCATGTCATCGTGATTGACAGTTGTGACTGACAGCTTCTCAAAGCAGCGCGTCTGAGCTTCGGCAGGAGACTGAAGTGTTATTATTCGATTTCTGTGTTATTTTACCATGACAAAATGAGTTCAGCAGTAAACTATAGTTTCTGACATACATGATCCTGGTGGAACACTGTTTATTCGCTAAGGTCAGAGCTTTTTTCGGGCTTTATTAGTTTGCTGATACACGCCTAATCACCCAGATAGCAAAACACACTCGGGCCAGTTCTGGCTAGATTCTCGCCTGCCGGAGACTTATCTCTTAGAGCTCAGACTGACTAATGTTACCTCTGCTGGACCTACTCCGGATGCCTGGACTCACTGCCCGATTCCAGCCCGAG